TGTTTCAATAAATCCCTGATCATAAATTAATGTTTGCAATAGTGGTGAATATCTGTGAGCAGCAATTTGTTGTGTGTGTGTGTGTTTGTAATTGATTTTTTACAATAACTATCTTTGTTGCTTAGTAAACAACGTGTTGTCTGGGTCCATTACTCATTTAACAATGAGTAATAGTAATTAATTTCTATAATTCCATAGTTAACATGTTAGATAGTAATACACTTCCTTGAAATACATACAAAATTAGATATAGACGTGTTTATACAAATAACAATAATATCAGTATATAACATCTTTTCTAACCAGCTTATATTTCAATTGTATTTGCAATTGTCTTCTTATTGAATCAATGCAGAACCTGTTTTTCCATCTCTTATTTAAATTTCGTTTTCCATCAGTATTCAAAATATTTTTGTCAATTATGATTTTCTCAAAGTTAGTTACACTTAAGTGTCCAAACATTTCACTCACGTAAGCCATCCCAATATTTTTACATTTCCCATATCATAAAAAGTGCTATTCTAATTATAAATCACATCCCTCTTACTATAAAATCCATTTATATGCAAAAGTTATCTATTCTTTTAATCATATTCAAATAAATGTTTGGTGAAGTAATACCCCATCTGGTAGGTCAAATCATCTGTTCTCTTAAGTCTAACTCTAGCCTTCTTTCTTTGCCAAGCCATTTTCCAAGTCAGTGTATTCAAATCACCAAGGATTTTTCCTGTATTTTTGTGGACCTTGTTTGGCATGGGAGAGACAATTTAGGTGGAGTGTTTTTGAGGGGGAATTTCACCAATTTTTATTCATTAAACAACTCCCACTTTCCTTCTCCCTCCTCTTTTCATTTTTTGTCTTCCAGACTCTAGTGATTCTCCTGACAACTCTATAATCCATTTTATCAGATCTTCTTTCTTGTCCTCAAATATATTTTGAAGTCCTGAAAGATAAGATGCCTTTTCCATTTCCAGTATTGTAACAAAATCTTGCAGATTTTTCTTTGCTTTTACCAGACTGTAAGTCCCTTTGTTTGTAGCCTCCATCATTGGTTTATAGTCTGTTTTCTGACATGTTTGTTCATTCTTTGTCCTCATTTTCTGGGAGTTTTTAAATTGTAAGCTTAAATTAGAAATTTCCTCATTTATGTTATCTAAATTGTTTTTAATCTCATCATGGTTTCTTATTGTGTCTTCTTTATGTGAAAGAATTGTCTTTTGAATTAATTGCAGCATAGCATACATTTCCTCCCCCCCTCCAGATTTTCTATCAAAAATACCATAATCCCCGAGTATTAGCCTTATCTAATACAACCAATCTTAAGGTCCATACAGCAAAGTCTTGTATAGTTCTTATGGTCTTTATGTATGGCCTTTATAATCCAATGTGTTCCCAGTTGTTGATCCACCACAAAAAGCAATATTTTATAACAGTTCTTCTGCTCAGGGGTCCAACAATTATCAATCAGCCAAAATTTGCAGTTCAAAATATTCAACCACCTAAGAATAGTTTAACAGTCTCCCCCCTACAAAAATAGCCAAAAGTCAAGGTTTTTCTTTCTCTGCAAATAGTTCTTAAACTTAAAAATCAAAGCTCAGTCGATGTTTATAATCCAGGTGTTAGAATGTCCTATTTGAGCTCCAAGGAAAGCCAGAAAACAGGAATGCTAAACAACCAAAAGCTTTTATTCGCCATAAGGCAGTGGTGGCGAACCTATGGCATGCGTCCCACAAGCGGCACGCAGAGCCATCCCTGTGGGCACGCACACCATTTCTGAGCTCCTCCCCCTCCCTCTCTTCATGCATGTGCAGTCCGGGAATAGCTGCAAGAGCTGGGCGGGGTGAGAAAACGTATAAAAGAAGCAGTTTTGGCAGGAGAGTGAGTGAAATCAGAGCCACCATCTCCCTTCTGCAGTGCAGCCCCATCGGCGTGAGCGGAGACGGCCCCAAGACGGCCGGAAAGGAGCCTTCACCTGGTGCGGGTCCTGTCTACAGGGTGGCTCTGACGGGGGCGGCGGCTGCTGCTCTGAGCCCCTTGACTGGCCAACCACACAGAGAAGCAGGAGGAGGCGGCAACGGTGATCCCTGCATCGCCAAGCCCGGCCGGCCGCAGATCTGGAAGCAAAGCTGTGCCGACCATCCTCGCGCTGGTGGGGGCAGTGGCGGGGGAAGGTGAGCTGTGAGACGCCCTCCCCTCCCCGCCCAGAGATGCACGCGGGACAATGTGCGGGAGCAGCGGCAAAGGGTGCCCACATGCCAGATCCTGCCTTCTCCCACCACCGCCAGCGCGAGGATGGTCGGCAGAGCTTCGCTTCCAGATCTGCTGCCTGACACTATTGCTCCCCACACACAGAAGCCAGCAAGTGCATGGGGGCTGACGGTGTCTGTCAGCAGCTACAGCATGCTGGCTGTCCTGCATAATAGTGGACTGGCCACAGAGCCCCATTGATGCGGGGGGAAATCACTCTGGGATAGCCGGAAGAAAGCCTTTGCCTGGCCTGGGCGCATCCACTCGACGGATCTGATGGGGGTGGCTTCTGCTGCTGCTCTGACCGGTCAGCCCTGCAGGAAAGCAGAAGGGGCAGCTGGTGCGTGAATCTGCTGCCTCATCGGGCTGCTAGTGAGCAGCCGAGGCGGCTCCAGACCCCCGGCTGCCCCTCCATCTCCGCCTGCTTCCCTGCATGGCTGACTGGTCAGAGCAGCAGCAGAAGCCAGCCCCATCAGATCCGTCGAGTGGATGCGCCCAGGCCAGGCAAGGGCTTCCTCCCCCCCATAAATTGCCAAGAAATAAAATCTCTCTTATTATGGCTTAGTTCACAACCATAATAAGTGTCATGTGTCTGATTAACGAAGCACTTAAAAGAATGTTCAGGCATTTTTTTAACCTAAAAGCATTTATTAAGGTTACAGAGATGTCAGTACGGCATGGTGGAATGCTTAGATCTGAGATTCTTTTCCATTGCACCTACATTCCAAGCATTTTTCCTTCCCTTATTTTGGGGTCATGGTTCACATCTTCCAATTAACTTGGAAGATGTGATTCACTTCCAGTTTCTTTTTCCCGGGCTTTCCTTATTCTCCTCCCCTTTCACTGTTGCCTGATTTAACTATAAAAATACCAGACAGTTCTGCATATTATCAAAGCAAGAATATACAGTATTTGCAGCATTGACAATAAGTTGCAATAAGTTGCTCCTCCTGAGCAAAGGCACATGAGCTGGGTTTGCACCTCGACCTAGATTTTTGGGTGGAGGGGGGGAAATAGCAAGCCCCCAGGCACTGATGCAGCAAAAAGATTAATGGGCTGCTGCGACCCGCCTCTTGTTCCGGCCGCTGAGGATGATGGAGCTGCCAGCACCAGGCAGAAGAGCGGGGCCCTGAGGCGGGGGGGTGAATCTCATTCCCTGGGCTGCGAAGCGTAGAGCAATTGGGGGGGTGGGGTGCAGACAACACGCGGGCAAGAGCATTGAGAATGAGAAAGACGCAGGCGGAAATGGCTCCGGGACACTTGCTTCGGGGCTCCGCTCTTCTGCCTGGCTGCTAGGAAAAAAATTCTCGGGAACAAAGGTTTTTTTTATTATGATTGTGAACTAAGCCGTAATAAGAGAGGTTTTACTTCTCGCCGATTTAGGGGGGGGGAGGAAGCCCTTGCCCGGCCTGGGCAGATCCACTCAACGGATCTGATGGGGGTGGTTTCTGCTGCTGCTCTGACCGGTCAGCCATGCAGGGAAGCAGGAGGAGGTGGAGGGGCAGCCAGGGGTCTGGAGCCGCCTCGGCTGCTCACTAGCAGCCCAACGAGGCAGCAGATTCGTGCACCAGCTGCTCCTTCTGCTTCCCTGCAGGGCTGACCAGTCAGAGCACAGCAGCTGCCACCCCCGTCAGAGCCACCCTGTAGACAGGACCCACACCAGGTGAGGGCTCTTTTCCAGCTGTCCCGGGGCTGTCTCCGCTCACGCCGATGGGGCTGCCGTGATGCAGGAGGCTGTGTGCTCACTAGCAGCCCGACGAGGCAGCAGATTCGTGCACCAGCTGCCCCTTCTGCTTCCCTGCAGGGCTGACCGGTCAGAGCAGCAGCAGAAGCCACCCCCGTCAGATCCGTTGAGTGGATGCGTCCAGGCCAGGCAAAGGCTTTCTTCCGGCTATCCCAGAGTGATTTCTGCCCGCGTCGATGGGGCTCTGTGGCCAGTCCGCCATTATGCAGGACAGCCAGCATGCTGTAGCTGCTGACAGACACCGTCAGCCCCCATGCACTTGCTGGCTTCCGTGTGTGGGGAGCAATAGTGTCAGGCAGCAGATCCGGAAGCGAAGCTCTGCAGACCATCCTCGCGCTGGCGGCGGTGGGGGAAGGCAGGATCTGGCATGCGGGCACCCTTTGCCGCTGCTCCCGCACATTGTCCCGTGTGCATCTCTGGGCGGGGAAGGGAGGGCGTCTCACAGCTCACCTTCCCCCGCCACTGCCCCCACCAGCGCGAGGATGGTCGGCACAGCTTTGCTTCCAGATCTACGGCCGGCCGGGCTTGGTGATGCAGGGATCACCGTAGCTGCCTCCTCCTGCTTCTCTGTGTGGTTGGCCAGTCAAGGGGCTCAGAGCAGCAGCTGCCACCCCGTCACAGCCACCCTGTAGACAGGACCCGCACCAGGTGAAGGCTCCTTTCCAGCCGTCTCGGGGCCGTCTCTGCTCACGCTGATGGGGCTGCACTGCAGAAGGGAGATGGTGGCTCTGATTTCACTCACTCTCCTGCCAAAACTGCTTCTTTTATATGTTTTCTCACCCCGCCCAGCTCTTGCAGCTATTCCCAGACTGCACATGCATGGAGAGAGGGAAGGGGAGGAGCTCAGAAATGGTGTGCGTGCCCACAGGGACGGCTCTGCGTGCCGCTTGTGGCACGCGTGCCATAGGTTCGCCACCACTGACCTAAACCCAATTCTATGGACTGTTCCCTGCAGATCCACCAACAAACTACATGGGAAAAACCAATCAATTAGAATTCAGCCTCTCACCCTTCATGGCCACATCCAGAGGCTCCTGCAGGCCATCATGCTCCACGTGGCACCGATAGTGGCCCCTCTCTTTGGGATCGATCTGGATGCTGAGCCAATAGTGGTAGGTCCCATCCGTGTTGGGGGCTACAGACCCATGGAGGGTGTCCTGCAGCCAGACCTCCCCGTCCCTCTTCCAGGCGGCATCGATCTCTTTGGGGTAGAAGCCGTGGACCCGACAGATGTATGTTTCCATTCCATCTTCAGCCTCCATCCTTCTGGTCACTGTCACCACTGGAGGCTCTGCAGAAATGACATTATCAGAATTAACTCTGAGCCCCTCCAGAGCCTGGAAGGTGGATGAAAAATTTGAAGGGGCAGAAAACTCTCCCACTACTTGGTTTTAACTCAAGGATTTAACACACTATAACTACAGCATCTCCAAGAGTTTGGGGAAATTTGGAAAATGATCAATCACAAGGACTCCTGATTCTGAGTCCTTCCCAGTGACTCAGTCTGAAGAACCTCTGGCAGCAAATTGAGGGTCCAAGGAAATTCCACCGTGACTGCTTTGAACTCTGACTGATCTTGGGCTATTCCCTTTAGACTTCTTGGTGCTTTACAGCCTTCTCTAAGCCCTAAGCCAGTGATGGCGAACCTTTTAGAGACCAAGTGCCCAAACTGCAACCCCAAAGCCACTTATTTATCGCTGGGTGCCAGGTGGGCATGGCCCACTGGGTGGGCGTGGCTGTGGTAGTCATGGCAGATTGGGTGGGTGTGGCCAAGCTGGGTGTGGTCACTTCAATGTTGTTCATGGGGAGGGATGCCTGTGGGGGGTGGGCAGGGTTGGGGGAGATCCAGGGTGTCTCTGGCAGGTGGGGTGGTAGGCAGGAGGCTCATCCTGTGGGGTGAGGCGAGGCAGGGTGGGGGTGCCATTGCTATGGGTCAAGGCAAGGGCCAGGGCAGCTGCTGCCTGATACCATCGCCCCCTGCACACAGGCCAGCGAGTGCATGGGGGCTGACAATTTTTGTCAGCAGCCACAGCCCTCCAGCCCCTTGACTGGCACACTCGGGGGCTCAGCAGCCCGCCACCAGCAATTCAAAGAAGCCACCTCTGAGCTGGATGGCCAGCTGACAGCTGAGCAGACAATGCAATGGGTTGTGCCTGGGAAAATGGGAGCATGCGAGACCAGGAGGGTCGGGACAGAGGGGAGGGAAACTAGCCATGCTGGGATGCATCCGGCCACATGGGACCTCAGCGAGTTAGCAGGCGGGTGGCCACATGGGACCTCAGCGAGTTAGCAGGCGGGTGGTTAGCAGGTGGGTGGTTGAAGAGGGACAGTTGCCATCTCCAAGGCATGGTGCACGTGCCTTGGAGGGCTCTGGCACGCGTGCCATAGGTTTGCCACCACTGTCCTAAGCCCTCTCTCAGCATATTGCCTCCAACTACCTGGTTCCTTGTTTTACCAACCTCGGAAGGATGGAAGGCTGAATCGACCTTGAAATGGTCATGATCGAAGGAATTGAACTCCTGGCAGTGTGAGCAGAGTTAGCCTGCAATACTGCATTCTAACCATTGTGCCACCACAGCTCCAATCTTTTCTCCCCTGAAGCCTCATCAATGTTGAATCTCTGGAGGTTCTTTGATTATGTGGAGACCTCAATTCCACATGGGATAACTCAACACAATAAGTGTTATCCGCCACTATTTCTTTGACATGATTTCCATTGATAAAAATGAAAACAAAGTCCAAGAAACAGTGGCGAATAACATTTTTCACATTGAATTATCCCACATGGAATTGTCCTGTAGCAAGTTGCCCCACAGCAAGCTGGCCACGGTGAGTTGGCTGCGATGAGATGGCCATGGTGAAATGGCCACTGTGAGTTGGCTGCAGAGAGTTGTGACAGACCCTTAGGATGATCGTCTTCCTGTAAATCTTGTTTATCTTCCATGTCCGAGCTGGCCAGGACAAAATAACCTTCGGCTACTAATGTGGTTTCACTGAATAGTAGTCCTGTTGTCTCATTGTGGGCAGTGAACAGGACACTTCCAAGTACTTTTGCTGTCTGATCCACACAGAGACCCGCCAGGCAGAGGCTGCATTTCCTGGTCCATTGAATAGCGGCCAGCATCCAACTCTAGATAAGGGACCCAAAGGGGCCAAACCTGTCCAAGATACCTGGTCATAAAGGAGGAAAGTCCAGTCTGGACCCAGATGCTCACCTGTCCTCAGCAGCATCTCCTTCCCATATGACAGGCACTTCTCTAGCAACTCAATGCAGAGCTCTATATCGTAAGGATGCATGCGGTAGGTGTTTCTGAGCTCCCAATCATAAGCTGTCTGCAAAAACCCTTCTTTGCTCCCATTTCCCTGGAGATCACAGCTTGCGATCTCCTGTAGGATGTGAAAGCCTGAAAGGGGGACAAGATAATGGTTTGAGACATCCTCAGGAGAGACAGATATCTCCATTCTTGCAGGGACTTTGACTCAGGAGGGAGCCAGCAAGAAAAGGAACGAATAACAACTGGAAAATGAAAGAAATGCATTTCCACCCCCCCCCCCATGAAGCTACTGGAGAGACATTGAGCCTCCCCATTCACCCTGCCCCCAAATCGCACTTTGAAAGTCTCCAGACATCCCCCCCTCCCCATTTTCCTCCATCTTCTGCCTCCTCCAAAGTCTCCTTCTGGGCAAAAGGAGAAGCAGCACCATCTTTGTCTCAGATTCACAGAGTCCCAAATCCGCTTTCTGGAGGCTCAGTGCAGAGACAAATGGGCAGAAGTGGGGAGAGGGCAGAGGGGGCCCCCACCACCCATGTCAAACTCACAAGAGAGGCTCCTCACAAGCAAGTCTAGTGTCATGCCTCCGTCCGAGCCTGACTCTGAGGACGACATGGAGTTTCCTGTTGAGGCCCAGCCCAGGAATTCTGGGAGTTAAAGTCCACGAGTCATAAAAGAGCCAAGGTTGCCTACCCCTGATCTAGTCCAACCCCCTGCTCAGGCAGGAAACCCTATACCAGTGATGGTGAACCTTTTAGAGACCGAGTGCCCCAAAAGCATGCCCGCCCCACTCTGCCCCATCCCGCCCACTCTGTCCCCATCCCAGCCTGCTCTGCCCCGCCCTGCCCACCCGCAGGGCCACTCACCGCCTCCATGACCCACCGCAGATCACCCAGGTGGCCCAGCAGTGCCATGGCGGCCATGCCCTCTGCCCACAACCTGCAGCATCATCTGTGTGCAATAGAGTGCGAGGGCAGAGTCTTGTCCCAGCTGCCCAGCTCCATGTGCTTGGCTGCACTGCTCTGTGTGGGCCGAGCTCGGGGGCAACTCTTCTCTGGGGGGGCTGCTGGTGAGTAGGGGGCCGCGGGGGAAGGCGGGGCTGGGGTGACAGCATGTGTGCCCACAGAGAGGGCTCCGAGTGCCGCCTCTGGCACACGTGCCATAGGTTCGCCACCACTACCCTATACCATTTCAGACAAATGGCTGTCCAGTCTCTTCTTTAAAACTTCCACTGTTGGAGAATGCACAACTTCTGGAGGCAGGTTGTTCCACTGGTTAATTGTTCTAACTGTCAGGAAGTTTCTCCTTAGTTCTAGGTTGCTTCTCTCCTTGATTAGTTTCCATCCTTGTCCTGCCCTCCGAATAGATTAACTCCCTTTTCTTTGTGGCAGCCCCTGAGATATTGGAACACTGCTATCGTGTCACCCTTCATCCTTCTCTTCATTAAACTAGACATAACCAATTCCATCAAACGTTCTTGATATGGTTTAGCCTCCAGACTCTGATCATCTTTGTTGCTTTTCTCTGTACTCTTTCTAGAGTCTCAACATTTTTTTTAATGTCATGGTGACCAAAATTGGATGCAGTATTCCAAGTGTGGCCTTACCAAGTTGTTATAAAGTGGTATTAATACTTCACGTGATCTTGATTCTATCCCTCTGTTAATGTAGTCTAGCACTGTGTTGCCTTTTTTGGCAGCTGCAGCACACTGCTGGCTCACATTTAAGTGATTGTCCACTAGGACTCCAAGATCCTTCTCACAGTTACTACTACTGAGCGAGATACCAGCTATACTGTACCTGTGCATTTGGTTTTTCTTGTCTAAATGTAGAACCTAATTTTTTCAGCATTGAATTTCATGTTGTTAGATAGCACCCAAGTCTGTCAAGGTCCTTCTGTATCTTAAGTCTATCTTCTGGAGTGTTGGCTATTCCTGTCAGCTTGGTGTCGTCTGCAAATTTGATGATTTCCCCATCAATCCCCTCATCCAAATCGTTGATGAAGATGTTGAAGAGCACTGGGCCCAGAACAGAGCCCTGGGGCACCCCACAATACACTTCCCTTCATGTAGATACGGTTCCATTGAGGACACCACGCTGAGTACGGCCGGTCAGCCAGCTACGGATCCATCTGGTGGTGATGCTGTCTAGCCCACATTTTTCTATCTTACTGCGTAGTAGGTTGCGATCTACTTTATCAAATGCCTTACTGAAGTCCAAGGAAATTATATCCACAGTATTCCTCTGGTCCACTAATTTTGTCACCTGGTCAAAGAATGCAATAAGATTTGTCTAGCATGATCTGTTTTTGACTAAACCCATGTTGGAGTAGAAGACCTCTAAGGTCCCTTCCATCTCTGTTCTGATCGATTGTTTACTTACCCCTCAAATAAGGGGGTGACAGAAATGCTTCTCCTTGGATAGAATGAGTCTGGTGGGGATCTGGTGTCCCCAGGGGGATCAAGGTGAATTTGATCCCTCATTTGTCTGGTGTGGAAATAGACAGAAGGACCTTCCACCAGGAGCCTCTTAGGAACCACTGGAGGGTGAGGGAAGCGTGTCACTCCCTTCTTCCCTCACAGCAGGAGGTCCTCCAATAGCAAACTGGGCACGGCCAATGGTGGGAGCCTAAAACGTCCCGTTCCATCCACCAAGGCCAAGCTCAGTCTGTTTCTTCCTCTTTAGCTCGTTTTCTATCACTCCTGTGCTATACTGCTTTTTTTTTTAACTTTAACATGTGTATTTATTTGTTTGTTTGTTTGTTTGTTTGTTTATTGCATTTTTGATTACCCATCCACCTTTAATAATGATAACATCCACAGAAAACTTTAGTTATGGGGCAAGGGTAAAATAATAATAATACTTTTTAAAGCAATAAACATATTTTCAAAATAACCTTTTTAAAAAGTTAGGAAACAGCCTTTAACCTGGAAGGGGCCCACTTTCTTCCCCTCTCCTGCTATTGGTGGGGAATATGGGGCAGGAGGATCCACCCGACCTATCACTCACCTTTGCTCTGATTGTAGTGAGTCCACAGATTCTCCAGGTAATCTCTGAAGTAATTATCCTTGCTACGAGCTATATCGGTCACAGCCTGCCAGTAATGGGGAATATCGTTCCTCATCTTCTCCATCCAGGAGACTCGAGGCTGAATCTTCCTGCTGTCGCTGTCGTAGTGAGCAACGATCTGATCATCCATATACCCCAGAATAACCAACTGGGACAGTTCCTGACTGGGCTTCACGATGGCGAAGGAGGCAATCTTGAGGGAATGTGAAGAGGAGCCTGAAAAAGGACCCAGAGGCGCAGAGTTA